GAGCAGCGAGTTGCCACGCGGCGCGCAGCCGGCGCCAAGTGCAGCTGCACCTAGCGAGCGAAGAGCTAGCACGCGGCGCGCCGATTTGGCGCGCTTTTGGTTCCCGCGCTTTCCTGCTATTTGGCGGGAGACAGAGTGGCGGCGGCGGCGGCGGCGGGAGCACAGAGCAGCCACCGGCAGTCGGCTCTGGTTGTTAATAGATATAATGGGGATCCACTGTAGAATACCTAGTGGCGTCATATTACCTAGTGACGTCACATCGTGAAGATGTGCCGCTAAACACGACCCATTCGCCACCTGTCAAGCAAGCCTAAAACTAATAGTTTATAACACATATGCCAGGTGGCGCTACTGAGTCTCTTGAGTGGCTCCATCTTTTCTATATTGTTTTGGATGATACGATTCTGGATGTTGCATGCTTGGATGTTTCGCTCTTGGATGAACCGTCCTTGGATGATACGATTCTCAGATATTCTCGAGCTGCCATTTTGGATGATACGGTTTTGGATTCTGCATCCTTGGGTGTTTCGCTCTTGGATGCTCTGAATGCTCCCAAAAGGGCCGATTTTGGATGTTATTTGGAGGTTTTGATCGCTGGATGCTGCGGTTTTGGTTGTTGCGTATTTTGGATGCTGCGCTCTTGGATGCTTTAATAGTCCCCCATATGCAAGGCACACATCCTCAACGCAAGACACATTTTTCGGGACGAGAAATAGAATATCTTTGCCTAGGGTGATCGTTGGGCTGTAAAAGCTCCTGATTTATGCTCGTCTCAGCCCAAGCTACGGAACTGCTATTCCAGTTCAAAACCCATGTTAAAATGTGAACTATTTCCTTTAAAAGATTGACCTCAGGTCACGTGACCTCAAGTTTATCCTGTATGTATATCCTTCGATGCGCCTTGACGAGCTGAACAGAAGGAGACCATCCGGGCGCGGCTGTACCTATCTCGTTCCTGTAAGAAGTTATTAGCAAAAAACCTTTGCTGACCTTTGATGACGTGTCGTCACATGACCTTGCAGTTGCCCAAGAGCATAAAGGCCTCAAGTTATTCAAGGTTGATGCATATGAAGTTATTGATGGATAGGTGTATTAGGCCATTTCGATGCATTTTAGTGAAAAAATCAGGCAGCTAATTTCCCCCCATTGACTTATTGGGGAGGTCAAGAAATTGACCTGACCTTAGGTCATCGATTTCAAAATTCCGAAATATAAACGTTGTAGCTACTTCATTACATCCTGCAACTCTCAAAGGACTCCGTCGTCTACTGTAGCTCTGACACGGTGACATTGACATTGAGCAGCATTCAAAACCGCCGTGAAACGCTACTTGCTGGAGCGTGATTCAAACTGAATGATTGACTTGTATGCATGTGTGTGCTTGTGCTTGAATTGTGTGCATCTGTTTTGCTATGTCAAGTCTTTTTAACGTTTGACGTTACGTTGATGAAAAGCCGCAATAGCGGATTTAACGTGAATACAATGAATGAATGAGTGACAAAGTTACGAAAAGTGACTGGAGGTCGGGTCATTCGAAATGACCTGGTGATTTGACCTTGAAGGGTAAGCGGTTTGAGCTTGCACACAATGTATAAAATTGATGGGGAAATAGTCATGTGAAATTTCGCGGCGATACGCGCCGCAGTTTGTCCGCTATGTATGAAAAAGCTAAGGAGGCGAATATCCGCCCCCCCCCCGTCGGTGCGCGCGGATTAAGGTCACATAAGTGGTTTGGTTACCACTTGCCAGAGCTCATAAAGGTAAACTTTTCCCATTTTTGACATTCTCAGACCAATCGGCTCAGTTCGCGAACCAAACGAACACCGCTCAAAGGGCATTAGATACCTAACTTAATTAAAATTGTCGGTAGCGTGTCATTAAATTTCACCTAAAGGTTAACAGTATTGCCTGTAGAGGGCAAAAATAGTCAAGTAAACGTTTCTTGCCAAAAGCACTTTTCTGTAATAACTTTTGGGCGAAAAGTTTGCGTGACATTGATTTATACGAGATCGACATTGATTGATTACGGATACGTCTCTCGTTGTGACGCGTCGGATGAACTGCCTAGTGCCTACTAAACGACTTCAACCCGCGCCCCGCTGTTCTCAGATTTGACCTAAAGCGTCAACGGTTTTGCCTGCAAAAAAAGAGGGCAAAACTGCCAAAATAGCCGTTTTTTTGTAAACAGTTCTTTGCAATAACTTTTGACTCAAGCCTTGTACGAGCTCGCTTTTACCGGCATCGTGTTCCTCTCGTCAAGACGCATCGAAGAACTTAATATGACATTGAAAGGTCAACTTGAAAATTTGACCTTAGGTTAAGGTCATGACCTGACCCGAAAGGGTCATGCTGCATATCATTCGATTCGTATCGTTGAGCTGAACACATCCAAGGCGTTTTCATCGCTCTAGCGTGCCTCTATCAAAAGTTATTAGCGAAAAACTGTTAGATACCATTCGTGACCTGAGATGACCTCAGGGGTATAAAAAGGGGTCACGGATACCATTTTCATGTTCAGTGTGTCAAAGTTATTTGTATTTCAGTGTTTGAGAGTGTTTATAACGGCTTCCGTCCTGAAGAGGCGCTTTTCAATTTTCTCCCTTTGACTTATAATGGGGAGGTCACAAAATTCACCTGACCTTAGGTCAGGTCACCGATATCAACATTTACTATTGCTTTTATCAATCGCTGAAAATTTCAGAGGCAATCGGTCACTCGTTTTAGCTATGGCAGACATTGAAATGTTATCGTCACTTGAAGTGACTTAGTGACCTGACCTTGAATGACCTTGATCTTAAATATTCACAACATGTGTGGAATTGATTTATGATAAGGTGTGCTAAAAACGGCGGCGCTCCGTGCCGCTGTTTTTTAGATAACCGCGAAAAATTGCAGGGGGGTAAACAGGGTTCCGGACAAAATATCGAAAAGCAAAATATCGAATCGCAAAATATCGAAGGTAAAATAGGTATCGAAGTGACAAAATATCAAAAGCAAAATATCGAAATGGATAAGTATCGAAGTTGCAAAATATCGAAAAGTCGAATATCGAAATGGCAAAATATCGAATTGCAAAATATCGAAATCGCAAAATATCGAATAGCATAATATCGAAATTGCAAAATATCGAAAGATAAAATATCGGAAAGACAAAATATCAAATGACAAAATATCGAAACGGCAAAATATCGAAAGCAAATGTCTGCTTTCGATATCGAAAGCAGAATATCGAAAAGACGAAATATCGAAAGAATGATCAAAAACACAAAATATCGAATGCAGAATATCGAAAAGACATAGGTATTGTTCGACATTTTGCAATTCGATATTTTGCGTTTCGATATTTTGTCATGGAATCGTTCGGAGTCTCTCGTACTACGAAGATTCTACGTCGTCCGGCCAATACCGTTCAAGGTCAGCGGGGGCTTGGCTGCGGTACTGGAACGGGATTGGCCGGACGGCGTAGATTCTTCGTCGTCCGAGAGACTACGAACGCGGGGTTAGTGAACAGGTCGCACAAGTCCTACCCCGCGTTCGATGTCTCTCGGACGACGAAGATTCTACGTCGTCCGGCCAATCACGTTCCATAGGACCATAACTGCAGCCGAGCCCCCGCTGACCTTGAACGGGATTGGCCGGACGACGTAGAATCTTCGTCGTCCGAGAGACATAGAACGCGGGGCTTGTCACCCTTATTGGAAAACACGATATTCGAAAATTTTACATTCCTTGACAGATGTTACACGATCTCTCTTGACGAGCTGCATGATCTTAGCGGCTTTGACCTGGCCTTGACCTGAGGTAAACACCACACCTGACCTTTGCCAAAACGAAAGCACATCATTCAACCCGCGCCGCAGTGAGCATGCTGAATATACATGACGAGGAAAAAATACCGTAGATGTTGACCTTCCATGGGCGGTGGGGGGGGGGATGGCATTCCCCAGAATACCCGCGAACGGCGAAACATTTTATCTTTGACCTGACCTGTGACGTTATCGGTGACCTCGAGGTCAATGAAATTAGAGCGTTCTTAACAAATTTTACGGGGCTATCGAACGCCGTTTGAATTTTGTGGATCCGTCCAGTAGTTTCGGAGATACGAGGGGGGAGCAAAAAATCCCTTCCCCCACCGCGCGGAAAGTGGCCGGGAGACCCACCGCCTGCCAGGTTAAAGCACTTTCCTATCAATAGAGCGCTGTGTCTGTTATGATTCCTTTTACCATTTTGTATGTTTTGAAGGAGCAACAAAACACGAGGAGTGAAAATGCCTTCAAGGTGATTTTCGTGAATCGGTTCATCAACCATTGTTTATTTTCCACTGACTGCATCTATATAGAATCAGAGTGATCCAAAACAGCACGATTGTTTTCAATTCGACAGAGGAAAATTAAGGGACTAAATAGGGCTAACAAAGATTACAGGAAGGAAGTGTCGGCCATTTGTGCATGTCACGCCACTCGAACGCCGGGCGCCACCGACTCAGAGGCTAGTGCGCCCCGTGGACCGTCCTCCCTCCGTGGTGGGGATCGTCGGCTGGCAGCCGAGTCTGCCGTCACCGCCCTCTGCCCTCCTTCCACCGCCCACCGTCCACTGTCCACCGTCCACCGTCCACCGTCCAGCGCCCACCGCCCGGCACCCACCGCTCCACCGCCCTCCGCCCTCCGCCCACCGCCCACCGTCCACCGTCCACCGCCCACCGCCCACCGCCCACCGCCCACCGCCCACCGCCCACCGCCCACCGCCCACCGCCGCGCTGCCCTGGCAGTGACAGAAAGTCTGCGGGGCGCGTTCGACGTGTGCTTCAGACACAGGTGTCTACGGTAACGTTTTGTTACTACACATGTACACAACAGCTTAACGGGTCCCGCCGGCCGACCATGGGAGGCGGGTGGCTCGACAGCCGACCTGAGCGCCCGTCAGATCACCCGACCGTATCCGCAGCCTATGTGGCTTTGGTAGCAGCCATAGAACCAAACATCACAGACAAAGCGCTTAGATAGCACACGGTGCCGTATATTTCGTCAGTTTCTGTGGTCACTCATAAAGCTAAATAACCTCGCTAAAAAAGTCAGGTGCACGGACCTGTCTAAAAATGGTCAGCGTCGGCACAGAGCTCATCGTCACAGTAAAACAATGCTGCAATACCTGAGCCAGAAATACGGGGTGTCCTTGTCGGTTCGTGGCTGAGCCCGTCACCGGCCGACCAGGGCCCAGCGAGGCCGTGCAGCCGCTCATATCGGTCACCCACAGACTCCATGGACATGCGCATTGCGCACGACCACACAACACCGCACTGCCCCTTCGCAGTGCGCAGATGCCCAATCGGGGCGGGCGTATCGCCCGTGGGGCTTCGCAACACGACATGCCAGTTTGGCTAACACTGGGTCAGTTTCGCACGACATGTCAGTTTCGCTAACTTTGGGTTAGTTTGGCTAACACTGGGTCAGTTTCGCTAACACTGCGTGTCAGTTTCGCTAACTTTGGGTTAGTTTGGCTAACATTATGTGTCACAGCCCTGCGCCCGGGGAGGGGCGGTTGTCGCCTCGGAGTCGCGGCTTGCAGTCGGACCAGTCGGCTGGTCCAGGTCCACCCCGGACCGTAAGGAGACGAGAGGCGACCTCCGGACGACCCGATCCGGTTCACTGGGCCTCTCTGTACAATGTCTGACCTGCAAACACAAAGCGGATTACAGTTGCGTTACGTATTAATTACATAAACAGGTCGCGGCACAGCTACACATAGGTGGCACAAAGACACCCGCAGAGCCTGAGTTACAACACCAGGCGAATAATGCCACATGCAGATCGCAGATATTTTCTTACATCACTGGACTCACACAGAGTAGAGACACAGCGTAGAGCGGGTCATGTCAAATGTTTGTCTGCTCGGGTTGCATATTGCATACGGTCTCTGCGGGGCCCCCAGGGAGCCGGGAGCCCCAATAGCTGGTTAGGCCCCTCAAAACAGAAGCCTCGTCTCTGACATGGGCATTGCACTGTGCAGCAAACTCTCAAATAAGTGGGTCGGCTCAAGACCGGTTCTAATGTGTGTCGACATGCTCACTCCCTGCGCAAGCATAGGACGTATTACCCGGAGAAGAGTCATCGATAATCCCAGCTAGGCAATAATGATTCCAGTAAAAATACGCACTGGGGAAAACGGTTTAGACACGATGTGGTAACCGTTTGCAGAGTCAATGCCGAGCTGCGTGCGTCATCAGCTACTGGGCTCGTGGAGAATGCAGAACTTTTGACAGCGATAAGAAACCGTGGGCTTTGTGTCCTCGCTATAGGCGGTGACTACGTTGTGGCCCACATGCCACAAGGACATCAGTAGATAAGAGTTGACAGTTGCTGTTCAGTGTTGAACGTCACCGGAGCATTGTGGCCGGCTGGATCAGCACGACTCACCCACGCACAAACGAGGCATTAGTTAGTATGAGCGGATGTCGGCTATCACAAAGACGACTACCGCAACTGTGGTGCAGCGTCTTTTCACCTTCTTTCCTCCGAACAATTTACCGCGATTGCCACCTGGCGAACAGCGGAGCACTCGCCCAGATTGAGGAAAGAAGAAGACTTGAGTGTGCTCACACAAAGGCGTCAGTCAGCTTTATTGGAGCTCATATCAACAATGGTCCTCTCGCTTTCAAAGTAATCAGGTTCTCAGTAGATCTAAAACGGTTAAAAGCTTCGCTTACATGCGAAGACTGCAATGTTGCTCCTTTAGTCCATGGCTCACGATTCACGAAGTCTTTGAAAAGAGTGCACTCAAAGTGGGTGAGCCAAATGCGCAGAAAATATTAACTGACACCTCTCCATATCATTCATCTGAGCTCTAACTAATGCAATTGGCTTAATTGATATCTGCTAACATCACGTTGCCCGTAACGATATATAACATCTGAAACCAGTAAGATAAGTTGATCCAGTTATCTTTTTCCGAATGTGTCGACCAAATTTGCTACAAAGCACGATAGAAGATTTCTACCATGTTTAAAATGTAGCAAAGATGTTAGGTACATTTCGGACGGAATTCAGCCCACAAGCATGAATTTGACGATCCGTGAAGTTTTCCCATATTGCTTTCTGTTGTAATTCCTGTACTTAAGGTGTAGTGCATGCTTTCAAGGGCACTGTCTTCCGGCAGTAGTAATGATGAGGTAAGTTTGTCAGGACGTGTGAATCTCTCAACAATTGATGTCTCATATAACACAACATACCCACAGGAAAAGTAAGCGATAAATAGGAAAATAAGCCGGAAAATGCTCAATGGTTCGCAGCCGCACGCACCAGTTAAACATCATACGGCGAAACGGTCTGGTGCTTCAGCCCTTGAATTTGGGTAAGTCAGCATGAGAATGAATAAAACAGACGAACAACATGTAAGAACATCGGTTACAACTTACAACTTCCTGTTCTTAACGAGATGTCTCCGTTTTCTATAAGCGAGAATTAAAAAGTAAATGCGCTATAGAAAATGTCGTCAAGCATACAGTTGGCTAGATTTTATGTATAGAAAACAAGGAACTTTCATTGTTTCAAAGTCCAGAGGGTTGATAAAAGACAAGACATACGGCTACCGAGGCGGATGTCAGCCTCCGTTGGAGCTTGGAGGACAAGATAAAGGCACCCCGTCATTCTGTTTGCGCTGGACGAAGCTGGCCTACGGTCATTTAGCCATAAGCCTCGTTTCAGGTAAACTGATGTAAACGCTTGAGCCGTGTACTTTACTAACTTCTCATGAATGGGCGGGGGTATGTATAATGTGCACATATGGACACCATGGTCTCCGGAATTTCCCTCATCGGCCGAGAGAGATGGGGAAAGAGATATCCGAATAACATTCACTGAGCTAATGTTCCCAGTAGCTCAGTCAGTAATCCCGATACCTCAGCAGTTATTTCTTCATATTGCTCACATGGAAAATGTGCTACCCGGAGCACCTCCTGCGGAGCCCTGAGCACCTCCTGCGGAGCACCCCCTGCGGTTGTGGCCCGTGTTCACCATATCAGTCCTCACCTGTGTGGTCAAATCACCGCCGGCGCACGGAGCCGACCAGGTTCTGCAGGTACAGGATCTGCTGCAGGGCCTGGTTACCCAGCGCCAGGGACTTGGGGTCGGCGCGTTTCTCGGCGGCCAGCGCGGCGGACGGTGAGCCCGGCTGGACGATGCCGGTGTGGCTCTGGATCAGGTGCTGCTCCTGCCTGCGGCGGTGCGCCAGCTGCCGGCTGGTGGCCAGCTGTGCCTGGTACTGCTGGTCCGCGCTGATGCCGTTCAGCCGAGAAGGCAGCGACGAGTGCGACCCGAAACGGCCGAACCTGCCGAACCCGCCGGAGGGCGAGTTGAAATGGCTGGGAGAGCCAAAGTGCCGCGGACTCGGTCCGAACGACGGAGAGCTGAAGCGGCTGCGGCTCGAGCTGAAGTGGCTGGAGCCGAAGTGGTTCGGTCCGAACCGGCCCCCGGAGCTAAATCCGCCCGGAGACGGGCCGAAGGGGTTAGGTGACGGTCCGAACGGGGAGCGCGCCGGCCCGAACCGGTGGCTGTAGCTGCTGCTGCCGCCGCCCGGGAACTGCGACTGGCTGAAGCGCGACTGGAAGCTGTGGAAGCCGTTGTTTCCCGACTGGAAGCCGCAGCGGCCGCCGAAGCAGGAGCTGCGGTAGGCCGCCGATGTCAGCCGCGCGGCCAGCGTCGTCACCACCGCCTGGGGGCACAAGGGCAAGGTCATGTTGCTGGGCAAGGTGATTGAGGAACCTTTTATCAGAAGCTCTAACTTGCTTCATGTACTCGAATGAAGGTTTTTCCCTACTTTCACACGACATTTCTCTCGTCTTTCCGAATCTCATGTCTTATGCGTTGCAGATTCCTGCATAGGTAATTCGATCGCTGGAGGCGCATCCCACTACATGTAGTAGGTATTCTGTTTTAATAAAATTGCATACACTTACGTCGGCATATTTTTTTACGTTTCGTAGCGTTTCAAAAAAAAAAGATAAGATATACAGTACGCTATCCTTATATAATTTTACCAAGCAGATGAGCTCATTTTATGTTCCTTTCTGAGAACAGTGGATATATTTACCTAATCTCTCTTTAAGTAAGGTAACACTATCCATTTTGTGCATTTGGCTTGAGTGAAGTAATCAAATAGCGTATAGAGTATGTTTTTTTCCGTGAGCCCTAGCGGCTTAATATACTTGTTATTGAAATGGATTTTCAAAAGCAATTAGCGGAATTTTGATCGCATGCACTGTGTGATGGGTATATTTTTCATTCAAGAATGCCACGAACAATCCAGCAAGCTAAAATGCTACCGAAGATTAACGACATTTAGCTGAATAGTGACGTCTGTAAAATAAGCGGCATACTGAAGCGGTGATAGAATGATAAGCAAAATATTACACTTAGCGGGGACAGCAGCAATGAAAAAACGAGCACGAACGTTCACTAGTAGCTATTGTCCTCGCGCTATCGTTAAAACAATGAGTTAGAAGTATCGCTGACTCTTGCTCATCACGCTACGGGAACTTCATCCATTCAAGGGCTATCCTGGTTTTCACGCTCAAAAGTGGTCGTCATGTCACGCATGAAAGGCTCGTCACAGCGATGCCTGGTGACATGGGGCGGACTTATCCGATTTGAATTTAAACAATCTATTCAAAAGTGCATGTGTCATCCAAAAGTGTCCGTATCATGTCACCGTAATCCTAGAGTTCCTGGTTGTCCTGTATTAGGATTTAGCTCGAAACAGTGACGCGAGCGCCGAAAGCCTGTGGTTTAGTTTGCTCATCATATAACCCGACACGCTCCAGGGCGGTGCACCGTGCTTTGTGCCTGAGTGCACTGTGATGTCACATTCACGGTCATCAGTGCAACAATTCCTCCCTTGTCCGGAGATTACGTTCCCTGCAACCGGACCCCTAACGCCACGACTCAAAGCACCCGGGGTCAGAGAGTGACCCGGACACAGCACGATGTGTGGGAGTCGACTGCAACGGTCTGCTTTTGTGCCGGCTGTACCGTGGGACGGGCGGATGGGGCTGATCCTCACGGGGGCCAGGTCAAGGCTGCCTGCGGTCGGCTCGGCCGACACCACCGGCCGGTGTGGGACCAGCCCGGGACTGAGCGGGGGACCGGACAGGAGCGGCTTTACGCCGTGATCAGGGACACCAATCAGACGTGGTCAGCCACAACAGACTGCCTCCCCGGAGCCGAGCTGGTCAGCCACAACAGGCTGCCTCCCCGGAGCCGAGCTCTGTTGACGACAAAACGCCTTCACTAGGGCATTCAATGTTCGATTGCGTGACGCGTTCCTTCCACACACGAGCGAAATACCGACAGGAGAACGTGAATGACATCGGGAAACTCAATACCAGCAACCGCACATTTTCTTTTTCTCAGGAATGTCAGAGGTTTTCCGCCCGCGTAATGGCTGTCATAGCGCACAGTGAGCGGTTTGGGCCACCCCCACTGCAACAGGGTATTTCCATTGGACGTGATATGCTCGGCACGTGGTATCAACTGTAGGACGTGCCTGTCGTCATATCCTGTGTCAGTGAAACTTTGGCTGACTGATTCTAACGGGCCTTACCACGCTACCGGACACACCTATGTGCTGACCGCCCACTCCCCTGACTCATAGGGCCGCAGTACTGTCCAAATGGCGACTGTTTTACCGATAGATCCCGTGGCGGACTGTTGTAACATTTGTGTTAGTCTGTCGACCAATTGGCTGTGGTTGATATAGGACCGCTGTGACAAAACGGGGACGCCTCGTGTCGGGGGCATTTCATAGCCACCGACAGATCATTTTACTGACAGGGTCATACGCTACGCCAGTGGGCCCACCACTGCGGGCGCCATTCGTGTCCGGCAGCCGGAAAACGGATCGGGCTCTGGCCGTCTCGGCCGACAATGGTGACGCCGCCGGGACAATAGTGACACGGTGGCGGCGGCGGCGGCGCCTCAAGGCCGGCGCACGTCCAGAGCTGTCGGGCCGCTACGGGCACGGCCAGAGATGGTCTAATTAGGGGGCCGTCTCTGATTCATCGGCAGCGCCGCGAACAATTGCGGGAAACTGACAGCCGTGTGTCGTGCAGAGTGGGCACTGCCCCGCCAACCTGGGACTTCGGGCCTTTTGGGGTGCATTTAGAAGGTCCCGACTCGTCACACAACTCCATTCATCTTATATCGTGTATGGGCTGTCAAAATTGACCCAAATTTACCACTCAATGCTAGAAAACTGATGTGAGTGATAATTATTAATTGAAATTTTAAGTTCAAGCTATTAGCACTTCCGTCGAACCGAGCATGGCAGCCCATTTAAGTGGTTTGTGGTTAAATTTGCTAACATATCAGGCACATGAAAATTTAGGGATATTAAAAACGCAAATAGGTAATAAGGCAAAATGTGTGTTATGTGAGTTCGTCCCATTTATCAAAGCAGCTACCGACCAAGTGATACTTCGACACTTATCTCAGAATTGAAGAGTTACAACGGTCTCACTTAAAAAACAGTCACCAAGTCACTATCATTTTAAGCACGTCTAAAATTTTCATGGAACGTGGCGCTGAGCGCTGATTCCAGCTGAGAGATACAAGAGGGCTGAGATTATGCAGACAAGTATCATAGCGCTCTGCATTCTGACCTCTCGCTAATATAGACGCGGCAGATTTCAGATCTCATGGGAACATTACCTTGCCGTTAAGAGTGCCATTTTTGTGGTGTTTGCTCTAATATCGTCGCCGTTTACATCTGAAGTGATAGGTATCGCTCACGTGGCCAAGGGTGTCAGTAAAATAGAGCACAATCTGCAAGATAGCAGCAATTTCGGTTATCAAATATGCATCCCACTCAGGCATGAGGAAGGGATCAGCGCCTCAAGGCTGAATTTTTAGCAGTAGTTTTCTGCTTGCATCCCGGCCGCATACTTTTTACATGCCTTCGAGTATCACCGAGATGCCAGAATTTTTACAATGAACAGTTACAAGGACACATTCAGACACGGCTCTGTCATCACATGACATCGGGATGGATTAGCTTCACTTCATTGCCAGAACAATGACGTCAATACTCAATGGCAGCAGAAGGCCAGGAATCACAGACAGATGTTTCCTTCTAATTGACTTTAAACAGACTTTACAACTAGAGAAGCTGTCCGATCAGATGTACGCAAATTGTCGACTGTGGCAACCTTTTTGTAGGTAGGCCCAGAGGAAATATTTCAGGCCCTGCTACCTGAAAGATCAAAAGTGGCCCGCTTAACAAAACCATAATAATCTGTCGAGAGTGTCGAGACATTACAGACCTCTCCACACTCTGCTGTCTCTTTATTTGCAATGCTTTTGCAATCGTAATTCTATGGGCGGCGACTTAAACTGTTTTCCCTCGGAACACTAGCTTTGGTGTAACAGTGCTGTTTTAGATTGAATCTAACTCAACTCTCAAGACAAATCAAGCCGTACCTACTCAACTTTCTATGTTGTAGAATAAATTAGATGGCTGATATTAGATGATGGAATTAGAAGCATTACATATGTGGGAAGACACAGTCGGAGATGAAATTAAGAACTGCATTGCGACTAATGCAGTTCTTAATTTCATTGAACTGCATTGCGACTAACACGACCAGCTTTATAAAAAGCAATAGGAATCAAATGCGCAAAATCTAGCATATTTGTTAGGAGGTCGATGATGATTCCTTTTATGAAACAAGGTGCTGATTTCTGCGTCGTAAGCGATAACTAAGGCGAGGCGATGATGTACGAAGCGTATCGGTTAATTACTGTCAATATCTATCAGCGCGGTGAAGACGGTAAGCGAACATGAACAGGTGTAAGACGGTCAGTAATGCAAGGAAAAAGAACAAACAACCTTACGTCGAGCATTGCCTAGCCAACGAGTAAGGTACGACTGCCATTTAATGCTTTCATCCGTCCTGATTTTACCGTCTAATACCTACATTTGTTTAGTAACATATAACATAACGCTTAGCCTGGGGTTACCAATACGGCGTGCACCAACAAAATGTCGTTCCGCCTTGATATAACAATATGTGTTCATAAGCGGCGAAACGGGGGGGGGGGGCACCGGGCACCGTCCCCTCTGATTTTGCCATTTTTAATTACCATTAGCCCTATGGGCGTTGCATGGAAAGAATGGGACCAAAAGTCGGCAGTCCCCCCCTTAATTGAAGGTATTCCGCCGCTACTGTATGTGTTTACATCCCCACGTCCCCTCACTGGTCACTCACCACGCACAATACTCCAGTCTTCATGTCTGCGTCCGGTGTAGGTCTGACTGGTCGGTTCACTCTCACCCTCGCTCACCACCGACTGCTCGGAGCTAACTGGTCGCCGGCGCCGCGCCGCACTGGTTTTAACGTTAGGTGGCGCTGAGGCTCCGGTATTCCCTGGCCTCCCTTCCCCGCCCACCTGACCTCTGGCCGGATCATGACCTTTGACCGTGACTCTCCCAGGAGCATAGTGGGCGTGGCATGTTTACAGCTGAGTCGGACACGCCAGCCAGTCGCGTATCATTTTATTACAAAATAATATTCGCCATATTCAATGCCATGTCGTTATATCGCTATAGCAACTTTGCACATTGCATATTATTTTATATAAGAGAGAGAGAGAGAGAGAGAGAGAGAGAGAGAGAGAGAGAGAGAGAGAGAGAGAGAGAGAGAGAGAGAGAGAGAGAGAGAGAGAGAGAGAGAGAGAGAGAGAGAGAGAGAGAGAGAGAGAGAGAGAGAGAGAGAGAGAGAGAGAGAGAGAGAGAGAGAGAGAGAGAGAGAGAGAGAGAGAGAGAGAGAGAGAGAGAGAGAGAGAGAGAGAGAGAGAGAGAGAGAGAGAGAGAGAGAGAGAGAGAGAGAGAGAGAGAGAGAGAGAGAGAGAGAGAGAGAGAGAGAGAGAGAGAGAGAGAGAGAGAGAGAGAGAGAGAGAGAGAGAGAGAGAGAGAGAGAGAGAGAGAGAGGAGAGAGAGAGAGAGAGAGAGAGAGGAGAGAGAGAGAGAGAGAGAGAGAGAGAGAGAGAGAGAGAGAGAGAGAGAGAGAGAGAGAGAGAGAGAGAGAGAGAGAGAGAGAGAGAGAGAGAGAGAGAGAGAGAGAGAGAGAGAGAGAGAGAGAGAGAGAGAGGAGAGAGAGAGAGAGAGAGAGAGAGAGAGAGAGAGAGAGAGAGAGAGAGAGAGAGAGAGAGAGAGAGAGAGAGAGAGAGAGAGAGAGAGAGAGAGAGAGAGAGAGAGAGAGAGAGAGAGAGAGAGAGAGAGAGAGAGAGAGAGAGAGAGAGAGAGAGAGAGAGAGAGATCGGTATATTGAACAGGGAACAGGTAGAAAGTATAATGCATTAATGAATGAGTTATGCATTAATTATAGGTATTTCATTCTGAATCGTGGTCCTATTGACCAATTTGTCCCTTTGTGCACCATCAATTTATGAGCTAGTAATCAGGGCGAAATTTTCACCCACAGATTTGATGAAGTTTTGAATAATCTCTCCGTCAGACGATTTTACGTTTTTTCGAAGTTCCAGGTGGTAGTAAAGCTTTTTTATCTCCTATCATTTGTGTGTTTCAGATGCTATGCACTACTGTACCTACCTATATCTCGCCATGCCTGTGATCGCCGTACGTATGTACGATGGCCGTAACTATGCATATATTTGCCGGCTGTAGACCGTCGCCGGCCAGGCAGACCGCCGGGACCGGCCAGGCGTGAGCATGCCGCCGTGCCGGCCGCCCTGGCCCGGCCTGACCGGGCCCAGTCGCCTGACCCTTCCGCCGCCGCCTGACCCTTCCGCCGCCGTCTGGGAGGGACGAGTCCGGCCCCTGTTTTGGACGTCGCCGGCGTGGAATGCATTGTCCACGCCGGCGTCTTCGTCCCAGGTATGAGCGGGGACCGGCCAGGTGCGCCTATTTTGGTGACCGCTGAGCACGGCTCCGGACGTTTTTTTCTCCTCTCTCGTAAATGTGCCCGCCTAACGGCGACCTTTACATTTACCTGGGTCACGTTGAATTGTCGTGGCTCCTGGCTGCTGAATTGTGGTCGTCTTTATCTCCTTTATTCATATCCTCTACTTGTCATCCTATGCCTACTTAGTACTTATGTTGAATGAGCTATGCACGAGTTTCATTTCGCCCAAACACCGCGGACCCACCCGACTGATAAGAACAGAGGATGGAGAACACTTCACGCCCGCCCGGTTGGCGATCTGCAGTCTAAAGGCAAATTCCTCAAGCTGTTCTGCACTATGCTATTAGGGGATTTTCATGTGTGTTTTTTTAACTCGCATATGCAGATGAATGCAAAAAGGCGAATGTCGTTGACAGATGTTCACAAAGTCGTGCGCTATCGTAAAGAGCTATCATAGAGCTAACTATGCTGAGCAGGGAGCACATTCCATAGACGACGCAAGTAGAAATATATCAATGATATTTTGGTCATATTTTAATTTAATTTAATTAAAACATATCATGAGCATAAGGTCATTTCACAACTCAATAATATGCTGAGGACGATTAAGTACGGTTCAAATTAGAAACTTCCTAGAAGAATAACCTTATGCTCACTATCTTTTAACAATCCGAAAATTAGCCTAAAATCAATGAATATATTTCGGAAACGTTCCTTCTTCAGTTCAAAAAGTTAACTATACAAGCCACAGAAATGTACAAATAATTGAACGTCACAAAAGCGCCGAATTAACTGATCCCACCAACGAATATTAGTCACATTCTCGTGCCATATAAGTAGAACGGCCTCTTTTAATCAACGCAAGACTAAAATAACAGGTATACATAAGGTAGCGTAACCAAATACAACTGTATGAGATCACTTGTGACCCAACAATTACTATGCTAGTCATCTTAGAAACACACAATATAATTACAACTGACATGCTAAGGTGTACACAGCCGACTACTCAATAGATCGATTGTCTAGCCAACAAACTAGCCATTCATCCAATTGCTCAATCCACTAGTTACACCCATTACATTCTTTTTTTTTTTATTTAGTCGGACCTCTCTCCAACGGGCTCTTTGTCCCAATTATAGGAGAGAGCACCTGCTCCTCCCGCCGTCCTATTCCCCACCCCCCAGGCTACGGCTGAAGTGGGAGCCTACCCCACACCTGGTGACGCAGCCGGGGACGACGCCCGCGGAACGGGCGGAACCGGGAATCGAACCCGAAACCCGGCACCGCCCGCACCGCGGGTCGACGCCTTAACCGACTGCGCCACCAGGGCCGCAGTCGGTTATTCAGGCGTGGAGTCGACAAACCATTCAAATATCCATTCCAAATCATTCAATCAAACGTTTTATCATACATCTATCCCAACATCTATCACGTCTCAGGCTGACAGTTCACACTAATCACAGAATTGCCCAAGATGCGATGTTGGTGTTTAGGGCTGGTCGGTATGTCCTTATCCATAGCGACTCTGCTATTTTTCTGTCTCTGCTGGTGTTGCATGTCTGTAGGATCTTGGCCGCGATGTGTTGGGGCTCTGGGCGACATCGAGGGTGGTCATCTCTGAAGTGGTCGCCCCACGGTGAGTCCATACGGTGGTTCTTCGCGTCCCGTAGATGTTCATTGTAGCGAAGTCGTATGTGACGTCCGGTTTCGCCGATGTAGCTCCGGTTGCACAGCGTGCAGGTAAGTTGGTATACCACTCCGGAACTGTGGCACCGGCCCTGTAGTCCTGCAGCACACGAGTGGCAGCGTGAGCCACCAGGACACGGAGGTGGTTTCAGGGCAGAGCGCACCAGCTGGTTCTTGATGGTCTGTTTGTTGGTCCAGGTCACTCCTAGGTTCTGTTGGCCACTCTTGTGTACGATGGCCTGTACGGTTTGGGCTAGCTTGTCATCGATGAAAGGTAACACGAGCCTTGTTACCGGCGTTGCTCGTCTTCTTGGTCTTGGTCTTGAGGTCTGGCAGCAACTGATGGCTCTGCTGATGGTGCGCATGTTGTAGCCGTTGTTCAGGAACAGGTCTTTGATTTTCTCTATACTGCGTTCACGAGCGCTGTTGTCACTGGAGATGTTGATGGCACGTCGGATTTGGGAGTGCAGCACAGCTCGCTTGGTTTTCCACGGGTGTGCCGAGTCAGCGTGTAGTATGATACCAGCCGATGTGGGCTTGATGTACAGCTCAGTGGTGTACCTTCCCGTGGGTTCGACTGTGATGCTGGTGTCCAAGAAGGGAATGGATGGCGTCTTGTCTGTCGATTCGATGGTGAACTTGATCGATGGATGTGCGTCGTTGATGTGACGGAAATACTCTTGAAGATTGGCAGAGCCATGGGTCCACACTCCGAGTACGTCGTCGATATACCTCATGTATAGGTCGGGTTTGTGTGAGGCACTGGTGTTGAAGTCCCGTTCCAAGCTGTCCATAAAGATGATAGCAAGCGGTGGGGCCACACGACTACCCATGGCGATACCGCTTGTTTGGCGATAGTATTTGTCGCCAAATCTCAAGAAGTTGTTGGAAAGGCAGTGGTTCAGAAGGTGGATGATGTCTGTAACTTCCAGGCCGAAGGTGTTGATGTCTTGATGGTAAGTTTCGAGCAAACGTTTTGCACTCTCAGTCGCTTCTTTGTAGGGGATGTTTCCGTAGAGGTTGGTGACGTCTACACTGAAGATGATGCTATCCGCTGGTAGTCTGTGTTCTGGATAGGCATCTGAGAGGCGGCGAAGATACTCTTCAGTGTTGCTGAGGTGGGCTGGGATAAACTGAAGGAGTTGGCTGAGGATTCTCTCCAGTAGTTGGGATATTTTGTCCAGTGGGTCACCACACGCTGACACAATCGGGCGCAGTGGAATGCCCGGTTTATAACCCGAATCCTCCCAAATCCGACGTGCCATCAACATCTCCAGTGACAACAGCGCTCGTGAACGCAGTATAGAGAAAATCAAAGACCTGTTCCTGAACAACGGCTACAACATGCGCACCATCAGCAGAGCCATCAGTTGCTGCCAGACCTCAAGACCAAGACCAAGAAGACGAGCAACGCCGGTAACAAGGCTCGTGTTACCTTTCATCGATGACAAGCTAGCCCAAACCGTACAGGCCATCGTACACCAGTATAACGCCTTTTGGGGCGACTAACGGAGCGAGCGAGAGGGTGGGCCTTGCACGTGCGAAATTGCGAGGGGGTACCTCCAACTGACTTATGCACGGCACGGCACCCTACTAACTGGTCTCTAGCGATGTGCCAAATTTGGGCACAATCGGCCCAGCCGTTCTCGAGATCTGGAAGCGGCACCCTGCACGTGCGCACGTGCAAAATGGGTCCCAACTGACTTGTGCACGGCACCCTACTAACCGGTCCCTAACCGTGTACCAAATTTGAGCGCAATCGGCCCAGCCGTTCTCAAGATCTGGA